GTTCCTTCCTCATTACCTCGATCATTTTTCATTACCAAGATTCGTTAGCAGTGATCATTGCTGATCTTATCGAATACGCCTTCGAGAATGAGTCGCAGCAACTGGCGGCTAGATTCAGAGAACTCGCCCGAAATTTGATTAACTCGTCCGTTTTCAGTCTCGTGCATGAGGTCTTTTCAGGGTATTATGAACGGTTTCTTCGGCTTTTTTTTTCTTCGTTAGCAATGTAAAAATTAATGCAATAGGATCAAATGATTGCTGAGCCTCCTGCAAGCGCTGCGAAAGCGATCGCAGGTGCTGCCTTTGAGCGAAGAAAGTGCCGCGCTACTGCAGCTGCGCTCCCATCCACCAGGCCTGAAAGCACCATCGGCACGTTCTCGGAGGTGAATGTGCAGATTGTCTTCGAAAAACGATAGGCTATTCTAAACATCACTAGGAGGACTATGGAAAGAGCGACACATGCTTAAGTGATAAAATATTGGAGGAGCTGCCTAATGAGCGCGACATACGGATTTGTGTTATGGCTGTGGAGGCGCATTGTCCCACACCCTGGCGATTTGCGACAACGTTGCACGTCACAGGTTCTGCTGCTGATCTGAGATGTCCTTATGTCATTAACTCGCGTGTTTCTTTGCCTTAGCGGTTTCTACCTTCTGAGAAGAATGCTCTGTCAGACATCTTACAAGTTCACAAACTAATTTCCTTGGGTGGGTACCGTTATTGTAAGTGTTGAAATGGGAGATAGGGTAGCGTGCATAGTCTGAATCGCTGCAAGCGAAGATGCGTGCTAGGCGGGATGAGTTCGGAAGCGGTGCCAAAGCCGTCCTCACCACTTCTTGAAGCGAGCAAGTGGCAAGACTGTATACCACCTGTTGTCGCATATCTGCTTCAATATAGCTGGCAGAGAACGGGTTTGGCGCCGTGACGTACTCATACTGCCTGACATGCCCCTTCATCCGCAGCGAACCAGAGTATATGTGAGCCGCTTTTCTGACTGAATGGAAAATAATGATCTCTCTGAGGATAAACGTGCATAAATATCGGTGCTGAGCAGATTAGATGTTCGAAAGTTGATTGAGGTTTTTTTCATTTAACACTGTGGAGCTATTCATGGCAGTGGGCGTACATGTGTTCAGGTGACTCACCAACCCGAGGAATTCTTGAAGAATGGGAAAAGTGCACCTCAGGAGAAGAAGAAGCACCTAGAGGGCGAGATCATGAATGAGGAACGGGTACCCGACATGCAATTAGGAAGTGAGTTTTTCAATGTGTGTCATGAGCGAGAGAATAAAGTCTCGAGATGGATCCAACTTGTTTTTCAGAATGTCGATATGTTCGGTTGCACGACAATGTGAACTACGTCGCTGCGGGCATCCTTCTTCGAGGGGAAGGTCCCGAAACGGAAGTGCTGCTCATCCAGGAGGCCAAGAAAAACTGCTACGGTAAATGGTACATGCCAGCTGGTCGCGTAGAGGCCGGTGAGACACTTGAGGTAAGGGGAAGAGACAAGCTTGTCCTATTTAGTACTCGCTCGTCGAGGGCTCCAAAATGTTCTTAGCCCTTTTCAGAATGCCGTTAAACGTGAAGTCCGAGAAGAGTCCGGTTATGAGTGTGATGTCATTGAATTGTTATCGTTAGAGGCAAGTGAATGCTTACTACTCCATGCATACACTGTAGAGCACTGACCGATTTTCAGGTTCAAGGCAGTGGTTGGTATCGATTTTCGTTCTTCTGCGAAATAGCCAGTGAGTTTCAATTCGAAAGAGTCACTGAACTGCCCTGCGCATCTCTCAATATTCCTCGATTGTGTGAAACATGTATGCGGCGCGGTTTCTTCACGGCACCGCGGCGACGGGCGGGCGAAGGGTGATCGCTTGCGCCTCCGCCACTGTGCTTCAATCAGAAGCCCCTTTTATGCCCCATTATGTGGAAGGAGGAGGAGAGAAAAGAGGATTGAACAAATAGTGAACGCTCATAGGTGAGTTAGTGGTAATGGTGAGCAGAGAATACAGAAAAGTCGAGAATCAGAGCGTATTATTTCAGTCAACAGCGGAACTGGCATGATTCCCTTCAAATGGGACGTGACGTTATGCTACTTATAACATCCGCTAAGTATGTCTGTAAGTGTGTGTATGTGTGTTTGTGTGTGCGTCTGTCTGTCTGTCACGAAATACAAAGCGAGCTTCGCAGAAAAGATACGATGACAGTTCCAAGAAGAGATATACACAGCAGGACGGGAACACATTTGTTGGGTGATAGCAGGTGATAGCACCT